GACTGACTAAGTAGCCATTAAGGGACAAAGAAGGGTCATTATTTTCAAGTTCAATGTGACCTTACACCCATCCCGTCATTCTAGGAGATGACTGAACACTTCTTTATAAAAGAGGTTTAAGTGCATTTTTAGATAAATTCTAATAGTTAAATTATTTTTTATATATATATATATATATAAAAAATAATTTAACTATTAGAATTTATCTAAAAATGCACTTAAACCTCTTTTATAAAGAAGTGTTCAGTCATCTCCTAGAATGACGGGATGGGTGTAAGGTCACATTGAACTTGAAAATAATGACCCTTCTTTGTCCATTAATGTCTACTTAGTCAGTCATAACACATCATGAATAAATAAACTATTCAAACGCAAAGACAACTGACCTTGTGTGTGCCCTTCTTCACAGCACTGCCCTGTACCAGCAGGCCCATGACAGGCCTCCTCCAAATTGAGGCAATTAGTGCAATGTGTTTTTCCATTAATCTGTGTGTCGCCACTGCGCGCTAATGACTAGGCTGGGACATGGTCTAATCAGACAGGGATTCTTTCACAGTTCACATGTAGCACTCGCTGGGAAGGGTGCCACTTTGGCCTTCCACATGGACGTACGCGCACTTCAGAGCGGTGAGGTCAGGGAGCATTCAGAGGCACCGGCTACTGCGGTACAAGTTATTAAGCATATAAGTACATTGAATATGGAAAGACACAGGTGTGCAAGTTTGGTATTTTAGAGCCCATGTTGCATACATAATACTGGATATATTTGGAATAATTACGACTTTTTTAATGCTTTTTGAAGAAGTTTCTAATGCTCAAAAAGACTTCATTTGTTTGATCAAAATACAGTAAAGCAATGATTTTTTTCTTTTTATTATTATTATCAGCTTTGAAAACAGTTGTGCTGCTATTTTTGTAGAAACTGTGATGATTGGGATTCTTTTTCATGAGCAGAAAAACAACAGCATTTATTTGAAACTGAAAATGTTGTAACATTATAAATATTCTTACTGTCACTGTTCATCAATTTAATGCATCCTTGCAAATAAAAGTATTCATATCTTTATTTATTTACTTATTTTAAATCTTACTTCAGCATTGATAATGATAAGAAATATTTATTGAGCACCAAATCAGCATATTATAATGATTTCTGAAGGATCTTTTAATGTCGAAGACTGGAGTAATGATACTGAAAATTCACTTTTGCCATCACAAGAATAAATTACGTTTTAAAATGTATTCTAATAGAAACCAGTTATTTTTAATTGTACGAATATGTATGAATATTTCACAATGTTACATTTTTACTGTATTTTTGATTAAGTAAATGCAGCCTTGGTGAGACTTGTTTTCAGAAACATAAAAAAAACATCGTAATTATTTAAAACTTTTGACCACTAGCGCATCCTGGGGATAAAAAAAAGAAAAGAAATTAAGTTTGGATATAAATGGAAAAAAACCCCTATGCTTTTCCCATGACTTGATTCATACTTCCATGAATTTGGCCACTACACTAATTTACATTTACATTTAGTCATTTAGCAGACGCTTTTATCCAAAGCGATTTACAAATGAGGACAATAAAAGCAGTCAAAACTAACAAAAGAGCAACAATATATAAGTGCAAATGACAAGTCTCGGTTAGCCTAACGCAGTACACATAGCAAGGTTTATGTGCATTTATATATATATTATACACACACACACACACACACAAAGAAAAACAAATAGATAGAATAGAACAAATAGAAAGCTAGTGTTTTTTTTTTTAAATAAAAAATAAGATAAATATAGATAAAGTATAATTAAAATAGAATAGAAAGTGTTAGAGTTAGAGGGTCAAATAAAGGTGGAACAGATGTGTTTTTAGTCGTTTCTTGAAGATGGCTAAGGACTCAGCTGCTCGGATTGATTTGGGCAGGTCATTCCACCAGGAGGGAACAGTTAATTAAAAAGTCTGTGAAAGTGATTTTGTGCCTCTTTGAGATGGAAAAAAATAAATAAATAAAATTCTCCGCTAATTCATACAAGCAAAATATATAATGAATTGGGTATGAAGAGCACAGGAACACAAGCCGTTAATAAACTTCTGTGTTTGTTGTGGTAGTATTGTAGTTATTCAATGCTGATAAACTTCCACCTGCAGGAGGGAACAGTTAATGAAAAAGTCTGTGAAAGTGATTTTGTGCCTCTTTGAGATGGAAAAAAAAAAATAAATAAAATTCTCCGCTAATTCATACAAGCAAAATATATAATGAATTGGGTATGAAGAGCACAGGAACACAAGCCGTTAATAAACTTCTGTGTTTGTTGTGGTAGTATTGTAGTTATTCAATGCTGATAAACAACCACCTGTGACCACACAGTTGCAACACTGCTTATCAACCGTAAACACAAAAAACTCTGACAGTTATAGTAACATTCTGAGTTCAGTAAGTTAAGCTAAATCAACAACATTTATGTCAACAGAAAATTGACTCGCCTTTTGTTTTCTTTAAAAAAAAAGTTACAATGAGGCACTTGCAACAGAAGTGAAAAGGGCATGTATTTGTAGAAATGTCAAGCTTTTAATTTTATAAAAACGCTTGCGTTAATTCTCCTCTTAAAACTTGTTTGAGCTGTAAAGTTGTTCTTATCATTTTTACAGTTATTTTAGGGTTTTATGGCAACAGACTTGTGAACAGACTCTTCACTCTAAAATCATGTTAATGCACATATGGTTTACATCTAGTGGCTGTGCTATTGAAACAGTGAGTACAAGATTGGCTCCATTCACTTTCATCATGATACAATCTGACAGTGATTCTCTTAGCCAGGGATATGATTTTTATAGATACCTCAAAATATGCCGCAATACAATTACAATTTGATTAGATTTATTATGATATTATGTGTTACATTTTTATTAACTCGCAAATGCAGCACACACTTTTAATTGAGCTACCTCAAAATTGCTAATACGATATCCCTACTGGTTGTTATAACTTAATAATAATAGTAATAATAATAATTATAACTGATCAAATATTTAATGACACCTCTGTGAAACAGTCAATGAACAGGAGTGTCAAAATAAAGGTGCATCTTAAAAATATAGATACCGTTGTTTGTGTGTGTTCTGTGTTGAATCACTCCATATCAGTGTATCATTGTAGCCCTAGTAAGTGCCTCAAAAAGATTTTTGCTTTTTAAAGAATATTGACTCCATCTTAGCCTTTATTGATCATCACATTGCTGTTATCAAATTGATGTTTTTCCTTTTCAGATACTACTCTGCATTGAAAACCATGGAGCAGCTACAAAACATTTATATTCCCAGAGTGAGCCAGTACAGGTTCTGCCAAATCATGGCTGAGACGCTTCCTAAACTCCGAGAGGAGATTAAGGAGATCTCCATGTCCGACCTAAAAGACTTCTTGGAGAGTATCCGAAAGCACTCGGATAAAATTGGTGAAACCGCAATGAGACAGGTAGGATTTTATATTTTATTTTATATTTTTTATTTTATTTTTTATTTTATTTTATTTTATTTTATTTTATTTTTTTATTTTATTAAAATAGACTGTTGTACATCTAGGTTTCAAAATCTAGTCTATGGTTGCTTCCTAACTGAGACGGATTCTTATACAGTAAGTGACTGATTTGGAGGGCTGTACATAGGTGTCTGCATATCATACAAGTGCATTGGAGAATAGATTCGTTGATCATTGGTTTCAGAGCTTGCTGTTTGCATGTTAATGCTGCCTACCTTGTGGAGCAGCCTGAGCAAAACCCTGATGCTTTCAAATATTCTATGTAGACACCTGGTTTTGAAATGTAGATAATGGGTACTAAACATTTTTGCACACGTATAGAAAACTAAAGTTGCAGTGAGAGGCTGTTGACGTTATTGTTGATCTCCTCTTCATCACCTTGTTCTCTCAGGCTCAGCAGCACCGTACGTTTAACAGTGCAGTGCAGAAGCAGGTGACTCTGAGCTGTGCCAAACCTCTGTATGGTCTGAATGGCCGAACACCCCTCCAACACAACGGCCTGAGCACAGAGGCAGCGGACGAAGAGGAGATGGATGAGAAGGTACATTCTGAGAATATTTAGCATCAAGCCCAAAATAAACATGAAGCACCATACTTTAGCCCTGCTTTATGTATGGCATTAATATCCAGGTCTTCTCGAAAACTTCCCGATTTCATCCTGAAAATATATTTGACAAAGAAAATTCATTTAGAATCATTATATATATATTTTTTTTTTATATAAATGCAAACATTTTCCTCCGATGCTTGTTAATAATATTTAATGAATATTTAATTAATTACAGTAAAAAGTTAAAATTAGGGCTGGGCAAGTTAACGTGTTATCACGTTAGCGCCGACAATTATTTTATCGCGCATTAACGCAGTTTTTTTATTATTATTATTTTGAAAGCCCTTTACTCACTGGCTCTGAATTCACATACAGACAAACCATGGGTCACAGGAGGCGTGGGATGTTGATCAGTACTGGCTTGGGATGGGCGTCATCACACGTCTCAATCAATGAGAGCATTTGGGGTGGGCCTAAGACTGCAGTATCGCTCACATGAATGCTCCCGATAAAATTATTTAGGCTAAGCATCAACATTCACAAACCACTGTTCGCTGTTATTTTTAACAGAAAAGAATGCAACGTGCTCGTAATCACGACTTCATAAGTGGGACATTTCCGATAGCACGTGAAGACAGCAGAGAAGCGCTCTCGCTCAGCACAGTGGAGTGCATCGTTTTGTTAACTTTGTGGTTTATTATTATTTTGAGTCGTTTGGGACGCGGTAACACATGACCCTCTCACAATATATTGCTTTACAGATCTATCACTTTTGCCGCTAAGAAATGTACACGCAATCATGCTGCACGTATCAGAAGTTCGGCGCTCCGGCGCGGTTAGCGCTCTCACTACATGCGTGCCGCGCATGAGCCCTACTGGACCGCACTCTGGTCCACCTCTTCCAACCGAGCCAGGGACGGCTAAACGAACCGCTCCCAAGCGCGGCACGGAGCGATCACACTAGTCAAACAAACTGGGCTTTGGAGGCCAAACGTGCTCAGGCACTGTTAAGATTGCCTAGTGTGAGTACACCCTTATTCCCCCTCATCTCGCACACGAGTCTCTACCCGCCTGCACCCACACTCGCCCATCAAGTGTTGTCTCGCGCCGCACTCTGTTGCGTTGGGTCCCGCGATTGTGCAGGTCTCTACTCGGAAGGTGCCTGTTATACTGTTATGATCGAGGCTCTGGACTCTGTGCATAAGTTATTTTTCTATAACAAACTATAAAATATTTTCTATAAAAACGTTAATGCCCTGGCAGTGGCAAATAGCTTTGGTTTTATATTTAATTTGATTATATTAATGTTATAAGTTGAGATTTACAAGAAATATTTTAACTGCTACTATGTAAAAGGAATACTATAAAAAGCACCTTATTTGTTTAAAGTGTTTGCAAACCAAATGCTATTGCACTTTTGTTCATATAGCAGTACTTTTAAATGAAAAAAGTGCACAATACACTACTTTTGAATGCATTATTGAATTTTGTGCATAACAATGTAATTAATCGCAGAAAATCATGCGATTAATCGCAATTAAAAAAAAATTATCGTTGCCTAGCACTAGTAAAAATACATTTAAAACCAGCATAAAAATGTGGTAAAACTGTAAAGGCAGTACAACAAATCCTATGATGTATAAATACTTGAATTAGACTTTTAATAATGCTCATTTGCTTAATACTTAAAATATTATATTATTAGTTATTGTTTTGTATTTTATAATATAGAATATATTATTATAATTGATTTAATTATTGATAGTTATTTATTATTTTATTATATTTATACTATGATGATTACCATTACTGTAATGAAAGTAATGTGTGTATATATATATATATATATATATATAGAGAGAGAGAGAGAGAGAGAGAGATAGAGAGAGAGAATTTAAAAAGTACTTATTTGCTTATTATAACAGTATTTGATTAATTATTGTACATATTGTGTTATTAATTAAACTATTAATAATTGCTTATTAATTGATTATGCTTATACCACAATATATAACAATTCTAATAATTTTTCTTGTATGACAAATTATAAAACAATAATATATTTATATGCCTTAAAAATGTTTTGAAGGGATATTTTGTTGAATCTTTATATGTTGTTCAATTCAAAGATCTCTTCTGAAAACATCATAAATATAGTTGAAGCTTCACTGTTTAATCCATTGCCAGTAAAGGCACTTGGGTCAGGAAATGTTTCTTTAACTTTGTCAGTTTTCTTTTTAAGGTCTTGACGGTGCAGGATCTGGTGGATTTTTCGCCAGTCTACCGATGTCTTCACATCTACACTGTTTTGGTAATTCCCAGCATCTCTTTTACTACAAATGTGCCGTGCACACAGTGAACAACCAATATATCAACAGCCTGTCTCCATAACATGTTATGAAAGTCTGTTTGGGTTCTGCAGTAGAACACAATATGTGTTTTATTGAGAAACATTCCTGTTGATCTGTTTCTAATAGGCCTCCAGCCTCTGAGTTGACAGTGCGTTTTCATTGAAAGGCTTTTCTCTCAAAGTGGCTCCTCGAACATTAATGGCTTATATAAGCAAAGGGATTTCCAGAGTTTTGACTGTCGTGCCATCAATATTATTTTTGCTTTAAACCAAACGCAAACTGTGGAGAGGTGAGATTGAGTTCGTTAGCGCTCGGTGCCATCGCTCATCTGGTCAGAACTAATCCCGAGTCCTTCAACACGCCAACAAAAGGGGTCAGACTGCAGCATCTAATGGGACTGACCGAGCAGTAACCCCCTTTTTGGCGTAAAAACAAAGCAGTGAAAAAGTTATTTCGCTTCGGCATTCAGATTGTGCACAAACTGCGGTGCATTCACTGGCCGTAGGATGAGTCGAGTGCTTTCCCATCAATGGTTCAGTTAATGAGAACACGAGCGCTTTTGACCGCTGTGCTACCCGAGAGCTCACAGGTGCTGGCAAGGGCCGAGGGCCACTCTTCAGCCACACCGAGAAGAGAGAGGGGGCGCAGGTGCTTTGCGTTCAGAGAGATTGTATGTTTCCAGTTCTTTGGAAATACACTTTGCCTAAATTTCAGTCAAACCACATATAAACATACCTATACATACATTTCACTCCAGTTTCCAGCTGAAATGAACACTAGCTGCAGCAAAACGACAACCACTTTTATTCCTTTTTACACAAGTTACAATAATCGGGCAAATAATTGAAAAAATAAAAGCACAGTTCCTTGCACAATACTATATTATGACCTCAAAATACTGTTACCATAGTGATTGATCTGTAAATTTTTGATATTCGCATTGCATAACCTGCTTCATATGTATGGCTTTTCGGGTTTAGTAAACTTGCTTGGTAGCCCACCTGATACAGCATTGCACTTGCGATGCGGAGACCTGGAGTATGAATCCCTTGAAACAAAATTCACGAGACACCACAAAAGAGCTTAATAGAAAGCGTCGTTAAACAACAACAACAACAACTAGATCAAAAAGTTAGTCAAGACAAACTTTGAAGTTAGCTTGAGAAAGCCTGACCAGAAAGTTTGAAAAAGTTTTAAAAGTTTTGTTAGGGTGTTGCTATGCGGTTACTAGGGTACTTGGGGTGGTTGCTACGTATGTGGTTGCTAGGGTACCCGGTGTGGTTGCTAAGGTGTTGCTATGCAGTTGCTAGGGTACTGTGGGTGGTTGCTAGGGTGTTGCTCAACTTAACGAGTGAAATTAAAAATTAATTGCTAAAGTCAATCAGTGATGGTACAGTTGACTGGTTTGCATAGAAAACATTCCGTGTCTTGTGTGCCTTAACCTGATTAATTACAAATACAGTTTGCTCTGGGGTAAAATGAACAATTGCATGCCGTGCAAGTTGAATGCTCTTGTATTAATTAAATTAAATGGATATTAATTTGTTTTTAAACACTTTAATGCCACATTCTATTTCTTTATAGGGAGACAGGGAGACGTTTGAAAATTACTATAGGAAGCAAAGAAAAAAACAAGCAAGACTAGTACTGCAGCCTCAGTCTAACATGGTTAGTATTCGTTGCTCTTTGTACAATCCCAACAGTTTGTATTTTTTTTAATTGAATGTGTTTTACTTCAGCACGAGACAATGGAGGGCTACAGGAAGTACTTTAATCAGATTGTCGGGTAAGTTAAATCTGGATTTATTTGTGAAGTTATTTGTGTAGTTTGATAAAGTAATGCCAACTCCCATCATGCTTTGCAGGTTCTTTGTGGTGGAGGATCACATACTACACGCCACACAAGGCCTGGTGACTAGAGCCTTCACAGACGAACTGTGGAACATGGCCCTGTCCAAAATCATCGCAGTGCTCCGCACACACTCCGTGAGTCCCGCACACGTCCCAATCAAGTCCGAGCACTGCGGGGGATGCACTAAGGAGTCTCATGCAAAGATTTGACATCCCCCTCTCTTTCTCTCTCTGCTGTGCTCTGGCCCAAGTCTCTTTTTTGTGATTGAAAGTTAGCTAGCAGTGGGAGAGAGCAGGCTTGACCCCTTTGTTCGGGCCACAGGACTCAGGCTGTGAGCTTCAGCCGCAGGGTATTTGCATAATCCCTCACTGATTTACAACTGACTGACCCTCCAAACACACTCTCAGCCCCAGCAGTTTAGAATATTCACAGTTAATCTGCTGTTATTGTTGCAATCTGTCCTCATTAGGCCCAACTGACCTCTCCATTAGATCAGATTGAATGGATCGCCACTGAAAGGGCTCACCAGGAAATGCTTCCAATTATCATTCCAAATGCCTTGTTTTGAAAATAAACTTCACTGAAAGACACGACTAAAGCCCTCTTAGCTCCTGAGCTGCCTGCGCTGAAAAAAAATTGGTGTAGGATTTACTTTGAAACGATTTTCATTCAGAAATTCTAGTCAGTTTCACAAATAATTGCAGAGAAACGGCAAGGAGCATATTAAACATGGAATGTACTCCAGTAATCTTACATAAAAAAAAAAAAAATTACAATGTGAAAGCAAAAATTTTTTTTTTTTTTTTGTGTCTTTGTTGTCATTTTTATAGTCATTTAAATTTATTAATTCCAAGATTTGATACCGGACACCAGAAATCTCTATAAAAATGTTTTAAAATCTTAGTAATAATTAAAGAACAAAAAGTTATGGTGATTCACTGGTCAAACGCGTGGGAACCTTAAGTGTGTAACAGCTTTCAGGCTGCAATTATACACTCACAAAAGCTATTGTTTTTTTTTTTATTAAACCAACAAAAAAATGATATGATGTTATATGAAAATATGATGTGTGTATCATGAGGAATTGCTTGAATATATTTGTTTTCTTGAAGCAACCACTATAATATTGCAGTTATCATGTTATATTTGATCATTTTTAAAGAACGCTACTGTGATTTTAACTTGTAATAACCATTATCTTCCTTGTTCATTTGCTTATGTTAAACAAGTTCCAGTTTAATTAGATTTTGTGTAATTATATTATTTAAAAAAAAAGGAAATAAACAATACACCTAAATATGAATTATATAAATATAAATTATGAATATAATTTTTTTTTTTTTACCTTTATTTAACCAGGAAGAAACTCATTGAGATTAAAAATCTCTTTTTCAAGAGTGTCCTGGCCAAGATAGGCAGCAGTACAACCATACATACATACAGGTACAAAATATAGTAACATAAAACAACTGAAATAGCGAATCCTTTAAAATAAACCACAATCAATAACACATCAGGCAGAACATCTACAGCCAGATGTGACTGCCTCCAAGTCAGTTAACATCCTCTTAAAAGCGACCAATGAGACCAGCATATTAATTTTCATAGATTTCTGTAATTTGTTCCATGAAGAGGGAGCAGCATACTTAAACGCCTTTTTTCCCAGCTCAGTTCTAACCTTTGGAACAGACAGAAGGAAAAGATCCTGTGAACGAAGATTGTAAGTCCCAGTATTATTTACACTGATGTAGGTCAGAAGGTAGGATGGAAGTAGACCTAAAATAGCTTTGTATATGAAGATATACCAATGTTGAAGTCTCCGCATTGATAGAGAAGGCCATCCAACACGTTCATACAGTTCACAATGGTGAGTGAGGACTTTAAAACCAGTGATGAACCTCAGAGCTCCATGGTATACAGTGTCCAGTGCATATAAACTTTGAGACGAAGCATGCATGTGTAAAACATCACCATAGTCAAGTATAGACATAAAAGTGGCAGCAAGGATCCAAACCAACAGTCTCCACTGTAGAGGAACACCCATGTTGAGTATTAAGTGACTCAAATAAAAATCCTGAGGCTATGAAATGTTCATTGAAACAGTCAAGTATTTTGGTCTTGTCCGTGAGTTTTTGAGAGTCTATCATAATGCTTGAAGGAAATTCCTGGCCTTTACTGATTTCTGATAACGATTTGATAGTTTTCCAAAATTTTGATGGGTTATTTAGGTTATTTTATTTTAGGAGTAGTTTGAGAAAGAAAATGGTCAGCTTTGGCTTTTCTAATTTTTAGAGTACATGCATTACGCAGTTGCCTGAAAACCAGCCAGTCAGAATTCTGATTTGATTTTCTGGCTTTTGCCCATGCCACGTTGCGCTCATGAAGGATATTTGCTAAATCAGAAGAAAACCAAGCATTGTTTCGGCCTTTAACTCTGTATTTCTTTAGTGGAGCATACTTATTAATTATATTGGTGAACACCTCATGAAAGAGGTTCCAGGCACTATCAACATCTGCACTAATATTAATTTTTTCCCAATCATAATTAGATAACTCGTAAAGGAATTCTTGTTCTGAGAAATGCTTCATGTTACGCTTGACTATAATGCGTGGTTTAATTTTAGGTATTTTAGTATAATAGATATATAATTTAAAATAATGATATTTTTAAATAATATCATTATTTAATAATTACATCACACATAACCTTATAAATAATTTAAAGTAATGAAATTTAAATAGTATCCTATGAAAATATTCTACGTTCTTTGTTTTGTTTTAGGGGTCATACTCACTTCATACACAACTCACGTGTGTGTGTTTGTGTTCTCGTCAAAATGCTTGTCAATGACGTACATCACTTCTTGAAGTGTGGAGTGACGGCGTGTGTTGCAGCCTGACCAGTGCTTATTTAACCGTGTGATTTACGCACTCACTCCCCGCGTCTGAGAGGCAGGCCACTGCGCCCTATCTAAATGTTTAACAAGAGAATCACACTAGTGCAAGGGGCTGTAAATCAAACCTGCAGCTCCTGTACAACCACCCTCACTATCTAACCCCACCAACCTGGAAGAGACTCGTCTGGCTCATGGTTAAATGCTCTGGAGATCTTTGTGGAGGCTAAAGCTGCTGCCAGCCTTATGTTAATGTTGATAGCGGTTTCTCATAACGTAACTCACATCTGCAGTTAACCGTAAATCATTAACTAGTTAAACACTCATCAATTATTGATTGAGAACTGCATTAAGTTGCCAAAACCTGGGGCGCATTACGTTTCTTTTACCGGGACCATTTTCTGGGACCAACGTGCAGTGTGAAAGGGGTTTAAGAGGGAAACGCTGAACCTAAACTAATCTGGTCTGCAGAAATGTGATTCATTGGATCTTGGATCCTCTGTTTGAATGGATTGATAACACAAGGTTTTATTGTGCAGTTTTAGGGGTGAATCGAATGAAAGAATGTCTGGCTCATATTTCAAACCAAAATTAAAAGAATGAAAGAAAATATATTTTGCAATAATACATTTAATTAAGTACAAACTTCATCCAGTTCTCAAGTTATCAGTTAAAAGAAAAGTAAAAATATATCTATCTAATAAATCTAAAAATATATAGGCCTATATCTAATATTTCTTTATGGTAAATTATGATGATAATATATAAGAGTGATTTTATTTGTTGTCATTTGTTATCATGATAAATTGGCTTCACTTCTAAAATCTTGTAAAATCGTTTTGCTAATTTTATTTCTTTTTATTTTGGAGTGAAATATGACCTGCACATTTCTTTTAAAAATTCACCCATAGATGCGTTATGTTCTAAACACATTTGTGAAGACTGCCTATTTGAAGATGCACCATTTTGTTGTCATTCTTATCATTATTTATTTATTTTTTTAACCCACTAGTCCTACTGCAATGATCCCGACCTGGTCCTAGAACTGAAGAACCTGATAGTTATATTTGCAGACACTTTACAGGTATTCTCCAACTTTTTGTTTAAAGTATATCTGTTAATTTCACTTGAATTACACTTAGATTTTATTAATATTTATATCAAACATTAATGTCAAGATATCTGTATGCTGTACATTTTATAAACTTGAACTATAATTTCTGCTGCTTACTCACTGAACACTTACATCTCATGAACACTTGACAATAAACCGTGGAACACACAACACTATCATACATTTATTTAACACATACTTATTTACATTTCAAATTTGCATATAACATACCTGTACATACAAAATTATCTACTTTGTATATTGTGTTTTTGCTATTTTGTACATTGTCTATTTTGTATATTTGTATAATATTCTTTTTAGTGTGTCTTGTCTTGGCACTGTCATTCTGTTGCACTGTGGAGCTTCTGTCACTAAAACAAATTCCTTGTGTGTGTAAACATACCTGGCAAGGCTCATTCTGATTCTGTAATTGCCTTGGTTTTGTAGGGTTATGGCTTCCCTGTCAACAGACTTTTTGACCTTTTGTTTGAGGTTAGAGATCAGTACAACGAAACATTGCTCAAAAAATGGGCCCTGGTGTTCAGGTGAGCTGAACTACAACTGCATTGTTTCTGGTGTTAGTGAATTGATATGGGTAGATTCTGCGTTATACAGTGACTGTGTTTCCTCTGCTGAAACAGGGATATTTTTGAGCAGGACAACTACAGCCCCATTCCAGTGGAAAATGAAGAGGAGTATAAGGCCGTGATCAGTCGCTTCCCCTTCCATGATGCAGAGATAGAAAAGGTTGAAATAAATAAGATTTTTTTGTTATTTCCTTTATTGTTAATGTATGAAAGAATTCTCTTATAAAACATTTGACAATTTAAACAAACTGAATTCCGTTTTAATATATTTTAAAATGTAATATATTTCTGTGATGGCAATGCTGAATATTCAGCAGCCAATAATCCAGTGATTCAGAAATCAAACTAATATGCTGATGGATATTCTAAAAGATTCTTTCCAAGAAAGCCATTTTGGCCAATTATTTGAGATAATTCGTACCTTGTATTGAAAAAAAGATATATACCAGTGTGATTCACAAGTGAACACAAAAGAAAGTGCAAGTATTTCTTGGAAAATGGGTTGTGAATGTCTGTTCTTATCGACTGGACATGAATCACCTTTTATTGTCTTTCTTGTTTATTAATCAGCAACAATTTCCAAAGAAGCTGCCCATGTCCCAGTCAGTGCCTCAAATCTACTCTCAAGTGAAGGAGTTTATTTACGCCAGCTTGAAGTTCTCCGAGTCACTCCATCGCAGGTGAGCAGAATCCACAACACCCATGAATCTACAGACAGAAGACATTCAGCAATTTTCATTCTCATTCATCCAGTGTGCTTATTCTTGTTCAGAATAAAATGCTAATATTAATCGAAAATCAACTTTAGATGTAGAATCTTGTTAGCAAATACACAAATCTTCAATACTTATCTTGCTGGATCTGTCCGCTGCTTTTGACACGGTTAAATAACAGATCCTCCTGTCAACCCTATTGGCAAAGGCCATCTCAGGAACCGCACTCCAATGGTTTGAGTCTTACCTCTGAGATAGGTCCTTCAAGGTATCTTGAGAAGGTGAGGTGTCCAAGTCGCAACATCTACCAACTGGTGTGCCTCAGGGCTCAGTTCTTGGACCACTTCTTTTCTCTGTCTACATGGCATCACTAGGTTCTGTCATTCAGAAACATGGCTTTTCATATCACTGCTATGCTGATGACTCTCAACTCTACCTTTCATTCCATCCTGATAATCCAACGATAGCTGCTCGCATCTCAGCTTGTCTAACTGACATTTCTTGCTGGATGAAGGACCATGACCTTCAACTGAACCTTGCCAAGACAGAACTGCTTGTAGTTCCATCAAACAAATTGTTTCATCACAATTTCACCATCCAGTTAGGCACATCAACCATAACTCCTTCAAAAACAGCCAGAAACCTTGGAGTTATGATTGATGATCAGCTGACTTTCTCAGACCACATTGCTAAAACTGCACGGTACTGCAGATTTGCTTTATTCAACATCAAGAAGATCAGGCCCTTTCTTTCGGAACATGCTTCACAACTCCTTGTTCAAGCTCTTGTTCTGTCCAGGCTGGACTATTTCAATGCTCTCTTGGCAGGTCTTCAAGCCAGTTCTATCAAACCTTTACAATTAATCCAAAACGCGGCAGCGAGATTAATTTTTAATGAGCCAAAAAGAATGCACGTCACACCTCTGTTTATCAATTTGCACTGGCTACCAATTGCTGCTCGCATAAAATTCAAGGCTTTCACTGACTTTTTCATTAACTGTTCCCTCCTGGTGGAATGACCTGCCCAGCTCAATCCCAGCAGCTGAGTCCTTAGCCATCTTCAAGTATCGGCTAAAAACACATCTCTTCCATCTTTATTTGACCCTCTAACTCTAGCATTCGCTATTCTAATTCTATTCTTTAAAAATAACATGCCCCTTTTAGACTTGCACTCTGTTCATTTACTAACTGCATGTTTTCTTAAAAAAATAAAAAAATAAATAACACTAGCTTCTCTAGTCTTTTTGTATTCTATTTATTTGTTTTCTTTTTATTTATTATACAATTAACAAAAGCAAAAAGATCTCTAACTCTAGCTTGCTCTATTCTTTTTCTATTCTGTTTTCTTTTTATTTATTATATAATTAAAAAAAAAAACTTGCTACGTGTACTGCGTTAAGCTAACTGAGACTTGTTATAGCACTTGCATATCTTTGCCCTTTTGTTGATTTTGATTGCTTCCATTGTCCTAATTTGTAAGTCGCTTTAGATAAAAGCGTCTGCTAAATGACTAAATGTAAATGTCATGTAGCAAAACAACCAAAAAGAAGACATCTAGAAACAGAATTTGGCAGAATTTGACTTGTGAAGCTGTTATCGTGACATGGCCTTCTCCATGGGAAGCCCTCATTTACGGTTCTGAACTGTCTTTAAAACCACCACCCTCCCCTCCACCCCTAGCCATCTCTTCTGCCAATATTTGTTCTCTTTAAGCTCCGTGGCATTCGGCTGGTCGTTGTGAGGGGTCTGTGTTGTGCTTGTCACTGGCACCCCAAATTCTTTCCCAGAGGGTTAGAAGTGCACATAGCTTGAGGATTTTACCTCTCATTGTCCCTCTGAGGCGAGTAGCCACTGCTCAGCAGCAGAGATTAGTGGTTGACCAGTGGATCACCAATGCTGATATTTATCGGCTGATATTTGGCTTTTTTTTCTTTTTTTTTTATATTGTAGCAGCTGCTACGTTTTTCTTTTTGCCCAACAAGTTTCAAAAGCAAGACTTTTTTTTATTTTGGCAACGCTGAGAACACTAGCACCTGAGCTCTCATTCTCCATTTTATTTAGTTTATTGTCTTTGTTTAACTGTTTACTATCTTATAAATTATTAGACAGAACTGTTCAACAAAGAAAGAAAATAAAATTTGAAAAATAATTATTGCATTTACTTTTATATGAATAATAATACAAAGGTAAGCGCTACAATACTTACTCATATGCTGTCGGCATTCAGCAAAAATACTTTTTATTCATTAAAAAGTTGTTGAATATCTCAGAAATATTTAATGCCACATACTTTGCAAACTTTTGGAATCCAACTTTTAGATCCTCTGATGTATGCACTGTCATATTCAGAGTTTACTGTATGTAAAATAAGAGAACATATAATTTGCTGTACACACAGACTTGCTAGATTTTTTTTATCAAGTTCATATAATTTTTTCCATTTTCAAATTATTTCTAATTTAGTAAATATTATGTAAAATAAACGTAAATTTCAATGCAACATGTTATTTTCTATCTTTAAATTGAATAGTGTCACACATTTTAACTAAATCTTTTTTTTTTATTCATATTGATACATGTTTTCAAATGATTTCTAATTTAGTAAATATTATGTAAAACTAGTGCTGTCAATCGATTAAAAATAACTAATTAATTGCAAATTTTTCCTGAAATTGTGATTAATCGTGATTAATCGATTAATATTAGTTTAGTTGTTTTTTATGACTGAATGCGAGTATCACTGATACCAATACTACTGATGTCTCTATGAAATAGATTTTTTTCTCTAAAGTTTAACCATTAACTGTAGCCATTCAACATTACAGTATAATTGAGAACTATCAATTTTAACATTTATTAGAAAAATAACTTAATTTAATTTAAGGGAATTTCAAGCAATCTTCACATATAAACCCATTATATTAAATGCAATGGTGGAAAGAGTACTGAAAACATATACTCAAGTAAAAGTACCATTAAAGCCAAACAAAGTAGTTTCGCTTTCACAACAAAACACAGCGCCTTCACGACATGGAGGCAGCGGCAACAACAATACTACAGCGAGAATAAAAGTTACGCCTTCTTTCTTTGCGTGAACATTTGGGCGGCGTTATGCAAATATTCCCACATCGTGACGTAGACATGTGGGGACGTGTTAGAATGAGCCGTTTTAGGTAGGCGTGGTTGACTCTTAACTTTTATAAAGAATATCTCTTTGGATTTGAGACTTTAGTCTTTGCAACTTTACAGATCTTCTTTATGCACCAAGAGCTTGCAACACTCCAAAGAGAAAGGAAAAATTGAAATTGCATCATATGACCACTTTAAAGCTACAACAGTTATTGATTTACTCTTTTTTTTTTTTTATTATTCATTTATTTTTATTATTATTTTTTATTTTATTTTGTTCTTTGATTAACAGACATCACAGCAGCTGGGTTAGTTTTTTTTGGTGCTATTACTTTAAGAGCTGCCGCTGCTGAACTTGATGTGGATCTGACAGGCATCGTATTTTCTCACAACTCACAACTTTTCTGTCACACCTCAGTTCTTAAAGTCTCTACTAATGAGTTGACGAGTTGAATCGGGTGTGTCAGATGAGGGAGACAGTGCTGGGGTGCTCCAGGATAGTTTTGAAAACCACTGCGTTTCAGAGACATGTTCTTAAATCTGACTCATGTATAACTAATACTTCCATGCATGAACAATTTTAAGACTTCAATCACATTTTTGGTAATTTAATGACTTAACTGATGACATAACTATGACATTGCATGGTCGTAGTTTCTTTCGTGTTTTAATATAAAATTAAATACATTTCATAGCATAGCATTGCATTTGTGCATGCAATTGAAGAGTGCGCATCAAGCAAATATTTTAATGCCGTTAAACTGTAAAAATAAATCGCCTGTGTTAATGCCGATTTTGACAGCACTATGTAAAACAAATAGCACTGCGGCAACACTGCAGTGTTATTATCTATAATTTAAATAGTGTAATATCATAAATATCAGTAGTTTTTTTCATATTAATTTATTTTCAAATGATTTTTCATTTAGAAATTAAACATTTGCAGCATGATATTTACTGTCTTTAAATTGTATAATGTGTTACCACATATAATTTTTTTTCATATTGATTCATTTTCACATGATTTCTAGTTTGGAAATCAATTCGGAAATCAGTCTAATATGTTAATGGATATTCTGACAGATTTTTTCCAAGAAAGCCATTTTGGCGAATTAATTGAATTAATTAGTGCCTTGTATGATGTCAAAATAGTCTCAGAATGAATATATTTACCAAATGTGTTAGTGTTTAGCGGAAAATGGGTTATAAATATTATGTCAAATAAATATAAATTTCACTGCTGCGTGTGTTACTTATCACCTTTAAAGCTGCAGTCCGTAGTCCGTAACTTTTGGCGCTCTAGCGGTTAATAAACAGAACTGCATGCATCTTGTGAAAGAACATTGTAGCTGGAGCTACTTCTCTCTGTTTATGTCTATGACGAATCACGCAGGTACTGGGATACTCCGCAGTGGTTCCACCAGTACCAGTCTGAAATAGTCCGAATATAAAAACTTATAAGTGTAACGTAGTGATTCAGCAAAAGCCAAAAACACGGTTTAGAAAATGGATTCATCATGTATTCGCTTATTATATCAATTTTGTACATTTTGAACACAAAAAAGTTACGGACTGCAGCATTAAATTGAATGGTGTGATATATATATATATATATATATATATATATATATATATATCGGCTTTATATTGGTCGTCAAAAGTTGCATATCAGTCAACTGTCTTCTCAGTGTCCCTTTTCCACCAAAGTGGTGCAGTGGCTGAGCCGGCGCTCGCCCAGGCATTTCCACAGAATACCAGCCAAGCTGCTTTTGCTTTGAGCAGTGAGAAGAGTGTGAGGAGACCCACATGAGGCTGTCAGAGCACTTATGGATTGATCTAACACAGTCTTTTCCCCTCCTGTCCCTCCACTAATCAATGCAAACAACTGCAGATTTCACACTCCTCTCTAATGGTTTCTTTGTTATATAAGCAAGCGATAATGAGCGACCTCTGCACCTCTTCATGGAGCGTTTCCCACCTGATCACTCCCGCCTAATCAACACCTCACACCGAGACACACAGTCCCCAACCGCAAAATCAACACCAACCAGCAGTGTCCTGTAAACACTCACACCTTACAAGCGTGCTGGGCAGCAGTAGGGCTAGTTGTGGATGCGGTCAGTACTAATGGGTGCAGACAGCAAGAGTTGAATTACTGAAATAAATGAACTTTTCCACGACATTCTAATTTATTGAGATGCACCTGTACTGTGCTTGGTTAAAGAGAGAGAGAAAAAAAGGGAATTCTGTCACCATTTACTCCTCTTTACTCACCAATTGTTTTTGTCCATACAATGAAAGTCAATGGGGTTTAATGTTGTTTTGACCACGGCATTCTTTAAAATAAATTATTTTGCAGAAGAAAAATCATTTTGGGGGCATAATGTAAAAAAGCAGAGATGTGAATTCATTTTTTAAGATTTCTTAAGGGCGTGGTTGTTTTCAAAACAATGTTGCTTTCCGCTAACAATCTAATTTTTCTGGCAAATAGCAGAGTAGCACTTCAACTGCTATAATGCTACGCTGTATTTGAATTGTCTCTCTCTTGCTCAAGTAGTGTCATCTTACGTGTCTACTTGGCAAATAAATAAATAAATGGACAAAATACTGTTCTAAATTTAAAAGGAAATTGGTGACCTGGTACCACATATCTTTAATAAACTGAAATAAGTATAGTCAGTTTAAAATTTAAAAGGTACATTTCAGTCAGCGCCAATAGCCTTGTGGGCATCGCGCCGACATACAGCGTCGTTGCGCAACGGCCATCCTGAGTTCGAATCCCGACTCGAGGACCTTTCCCGGGCCCACCCCCATCTCTCTTCCACTTCACTTCCTGTCAATTCTGATCTGTCCTATTCATAGCTTTCAGTCACGTGACCGGCTCGAAGACTTGGAGGGCAAAACATCCATAGTACTGCAGCACAAGCCTGTCAATTTTCCATCTGTTTCCCAGACTCAAATATTTAGATCACCTCTCAAAATAATAAAACAAAGGTATTTGAACAAAATGCAAGTTTTGGCCATTTGCAATCCATAGTAAGCACCCGCGGCAATATTTCAATCATTAAACAGTGCGACAAAACATTGTAAAAACACTTAAAGTGCCTTAATATATTTAAAGGGATAGTTCACCCAAAAATGAAAATTTGATGTTTATCTGCTTACCCCCAGGGCATCCAAGATGTAGGTGACTTTGTTTCTTCAGTAGAACACAAACGAAGATTTTTAACTCAAACCGTTGCAGTCTGTCAGTCATGTAATGGAAGTGAATGGGAATCACTGCTTTGAGAGTCAAAAAAACATACACAAACAAAACCAAATTAAACCCTGCGGCTCGTGACGATACATTGATGTGTAAAAACACAAAACGATCGGTCTGTGCAAGAAACTGAACAGTATTTATATCGTTTTTTACCTCTGATTCACCGCAATGTTCAAACTGTTCTGAGTGCGTTCTCAAAAGTCGGCGCGTCTTCTTCTTCTTCTTGCTTTACGGCAGATCGCAGACTTATAAGTGCATTACCACACTTATGTCTGCGATCTGCCGTAAAGCAAGAAGAAGAAGAAGACGCGCCACGCGCCGACTGTTGAGAACTGTTAAAACTGTAATATTAAAGATCTTGCCTATGTAAACTATGCATCATTAATATGGTGATTACTGAATTTGATCTTTAATATTACAGTTTTAACAGTTCTCAACAGTCGGCGCGTGGCGCGTCTTCTTCTTCTTCTTGCTTTACGGCAGATCGCAGACTTATAAGTGCATTACCACACTTATGTCTGCGATCTGCCGTAAAGCAAGAAGAAGAAGAAGACGCGCCACGCGCCGACTGTTGAGAACTGTTAAAACTGTAATATTAAAGATCAAATTCAGTAATCACCATATTAATGATGCATAGTTTACATAGGCAAGCAGATGAGGCCGAAATATGAACGCAATCTGCTTAATGGTTCGGTGTTTTCCTTATATTTGTTTTCTATGGGAAACCATTTAATGTGAAACTTTGCACATTGTGTTTATATTCTGGGTTCATCTTCTTGCCTGTACAAAATATACATCATCAATAAGGTGTTTACTGAATGTCGCCTTTTAATATCTGCATTTTACTATATTACTACTTAATGCAATCTGTGTAAAAATAACTGTCGGTCAGTGGAGCAAAGCTTTGTTTTGCCCTCCAGGTAGGTGTTCCTATAAAGGTGTGACGTCACGTGAAAACTATCAATTGAAATAAATTGAGATTTTTGGTGGAAAATGGCAAAAAAAAAGGAAAAAAAAAAGGTAAATTTCATGTCCATTAATGATAGTATATTTTCTTTAGAAAAATCATATTTTATCCTAGCGAAACCATGTAATAATCTCATGCAAATATTTTGCACATCCTGTTTGTTTTCTTGAAATAGCATTGATGTCCTCAAAATATCATCCTCTGAAATAACAATTAAATAAAAAAAAAAGTTGCAGTGAACATTATCTATATTAAATGTATTTTTAAAGTCTGATTAAGTGTTTTTAAATTAAATTTAAATGCTCTTAAAATGAAACGTTTTACTAACTGAACAATCCCTGCAACTAACAAATGGTTTATCACCATGCATCAAGCATGATGATGATTTTTTTCTTTTGTGGTGGACACTTTGGACACATCATTTTAAGTGTCCTTTTCTTGTCAGTATTTTATCTACAATAAAACTAAAAATCAAGTCAGGAATCTTGGTGTGATTCTGGAGTCAGACCTTAGTTTCAGTAGTCATATCAAAGCAATAACTAAATCAGCATACTATCATCTCAAAAACATTGCAAGAATTAGATGTTTTGTTTCCAGTCAAGACTTGGAGAAACTTGTTCATGCCTTTATCACCAGCAGGGTGGACTATTGTAATGGTCTCCTCACCAGCCTTCCCAAGAAGACCATTAGACAGCTGCAGCTCATCCAGAACGCTGGTGCCAGGATTCTGACTCGAGCCAGAAAATCTGAGCATATCACACCAGTCCTCAGGTCCTTACACTGGCTTCCAGTTACATTTAGGATTGATTTTAAAGTACCTTTACTCGTTTATAAATTACTAAATAGCCTAGGACCTAAATACGTTGCAGATATGCTCACTTAATATAAACCTAACAGACCACTCAGATCATTAGAGGATTGATTTTAAAGTACCTTTACTCGTTTATAAATTACTAAATGGCCTAGGACCTAAATACGTTGCAGATATGCTCACTTAATATAAACCTAACAGACCACTCAGATCATTAAGATCAAGTCCGTTAGACACACCAAGGGTTCATTCAAAACAAGGGGAATCTGCTTTTAGCTATTATGCCGCCTGCAGTTGGAACCAGCTTCCAGAAGAGATCAGATGTGCTAGTTTAGCTGTTTAGCTGTGCTTTTACTAAATGAGCACTGTGCTACGTCCGAACTGATTGCACTGTATAATAATTTTTATTCTGTATAATCATTTTATATATATATAAACATGTTTAACTCTTTTAATTCATTTTAAATACATTTTTAAGTCATTTAAATTGTTTTTATTGTTGTGATTTATATTTTTTATGATTATTTTAATTCCTTTTATATGTAAAGCACTTTGAATTACCATTGTGCATGAACTGTGCTATATACATAAACTTTGCCTTGCCTTGCCTTACGATAACCTATTGTCAAGGAGTATAATAATTGACTGTCAAATATGTTGAGTTCACTGTTATGGTGTGCACTATTTTTTAATGATTGCCATTCAAATATATAATCAAATTTAGGTTCACCTGATCAAGAAAATAACATGCGGTTGTCCAGACAAAGCCTTTAAAAACGATTTAACCTTCTATGTGTCAGAGGAAACTGAGTATATATTTGCATGAGCTAACAATCCATGCAAGAGTTAACAATGTGTCCTGTCGACTATCTTATGAGACATAATTAAAAAGTAAGTCTTTGTGCAAAGATTGAACATATTTCTTGGTTAACTTGTATTTCAGCTCAACTGAGATTGACGACATGCTCCGTAAATCCACCAACCTCCTGCTGACGAGGACGTTGAGCAGCTGCTTACAAAATCTAATCAAAAAGCCACACATAGGATTAACCGAGGTAACGTTAATGTGACGAATCGCCTCATTCTGTCTGCGAAGCTCAGTTCGAAAATAACGTATGCCTTCCTTTCTGTTGTTTTTCAGCTAGTTCAAATTATCATCAACACCACCCATTTAGAGCACGCGTGTAAATACCTGGAGGATTTTATCACGAACATCACCAATGTTTCCCCGGAAACGGTTCATACCACAAGACTCTACGGGCTTTCCACCTTCAAGGTAAAAGTCATTCACAGACATGTTCTTTAATTACACATTTCACTCAGTTGTATAACCGCCATGGGCTCACTGTGATCAGAGAGCAGCCATCTGGAGTGGTTCCCCCAGAGTAAAGCTGTCATCGACAGCACAGGACAAGAGCCGCCTTAGGCTTCACGAACTGCATACTGAGCTTGTTTTGATGCTACTGTGTTAAATGTATCAAACCAGAGGTGTTATTGGGTGACCTCTTTTTGAGTCATTAAACATGCAGCAGCATGTTAGCATTGCTCAAGTTTGATTACAACGAATTTCATAAGTACCCTTTCCACATTTCGTTTTTTTACTACATGAAATTGCATTCGATAAGGATTTTTTTAACCGTTTAAGGTCCACCACGTTTAGCAATTGATATGCCTAGAAAATATTTTGAATTGTAGCATGAAAAGCTAGCATAGATGACAGAGGTCGAAACGAAGGTGTTATGAGGTGACCTCTTTTCAGTCATTAAACGCGCAGAAGCATGTTGGCATTGCTCAAGTTTGATTACAATGAATTGCATAAGTACCCCTTTCCACATTGCATTGCATAAGTATTAACCCCGCCTTTTTTTCGCGTTTTGTTGTTTTGCAACTTGGAATTGCATTTGATAGATAATTATTAACCATTTGAGATCCGCAAAATGTTTACCATTTGATATCTATGCAAATTATGTTTGATTGTTGCATGACGATTTAGTGGTTGCAACATTTATTGCTTCAGTTGGCAATTGATTTCCAGTGCAACTAGGAATTTTCCACATTTCGCTGTTTTTTAATCTTGCATTCGATAGAACATTTTTACCATTTAATATGCAAAAAATGCTTTCCATTTGATATTCATGTGAATATTTTTGATTGTGGTGTCAAAAGTAAAACAAATTTAAATGCATCTCAGGATTCAGTTGGCTATTGATTGTACCAGTGTTTGTACACTTCTGGAGGAATTTTCCAAATGTTGTTGTTTTACAGCTTGGAATTGCATTTGAAAGGGAATATTTACCTTTTTTAAAAGTGAAACAAAAAAGCATACATTTAATTGTTGCAACATTTATTGTTTCAATACTGTTTAAAAGCATCCCAGGAATCATTTAGTAGTTGGTTGTACCAGTGTTTGTGCACTTCAGGAAAATTTTGAATGCATGGTTTCTTATTTTTAGGATGCTAGACATGCAGCCGAAGGAGAAATATACACCAAACTCAACCAGAAGATTGATGAATTCATTCAGCTGGCTGATTATGAATGGGGCATGGCAGAGTCGGACGGCAGGGCCAGCGGCTACCTCATTGACCTTATTAACTTCCTGCGTAGCACCTTCCAGGTCTTCACACACCTTCCAGTAAGTTCCATACCATCCTATTCATATGCAGTCTCGCCATGAATTTGTGACCATTCTTCACCTGTTGAGTTCATGTAATGTGTGTTATTGCATGTGTGGCGTCAATCAGTGTTGCATTTATAGGTGTTTAGATGGTCATACCTGGGTGGAAGTTCTAGGAGCCAACACGTTTTCTAGCTTATGCCCCTCTTTTGACTTTCCACTGTTTGATATTAGGTGTAAATCAATGCATATGTGCACAGAAATGTCGTGTTTGGTGTTATAGGTGTCATTACACAAACATACAATGTCCATTTCCAAAACCAATCAAATCTCTGTCTATTCCTGCACATAATCAACACAGACAACTCCCAGCCCATCCATTCACTGAGAATGATACAGCTTGCTTGCGTTTCTCTTCAGCTGCCCTGTCCTCTTAAACAAATTACTTTAACCTCCAGTTTAAGTTGGCTATGCTTTGGTTTCTCAACAATGTAACATCTTTCCTGTAAGTGAATGTATTCCTTGATTTATTTTCTGCCAGGCATGCTTGGTTTTTCTGATTTTCCTTTGTCTGTCCATTTATTATCGCTATACTTTCTTTCCCTGTCCGTGTTTTATTTTCTTGGGGTTTCCGCTCAGAATAACAACAATGATCATGCTGCGATGTCGGTAAGTAGACCCTCTTCGAACCCTAGAGGAGGAAGAGAAAAATTACAATAATTTAAAAGCAAAAAAAAAAAAAAAGACATTAAAACTGCATGTTCATGTCAGCTCTGTGGACTTGCTGCCAGCCTTGTTTTGCTTCCCTTTTCACGTGCAATGCAGAATGTAATCCAGATCGATTGGCATGCTGCCCCTGATTTGCTGCCCATTATTGTCTGACGCTGATACCAGTATCTGCAGAACACGTGTGCCATTCTTACTTGAGATTCACTAGCACTACTCACAGCATTAAAGGGACAGTTCGCCCAAAAATTCAGATTGTCACCTTATGCTGTTCCAAATACATTTATTTATTTATTTTTTTGGAACACAGAAGAGATTATTTTGATGATATTTTTGCCCATAAAATGAATGTAAATGGGGTCCAAAACCTCACTGACTTTGATTGTATGGACAAAATTTTTTTGGGTGATCTATCTCTTAAATGGTCTCAATCATGAGTGTCTCTCAATTCAGAATGCTGCTTTATTAATGCTGCATAATGACACATTCTAACCTACTACCCTATCAGGACAGCTAGATGTCATTACATGTCAAGTATACTCAGATGTTACATAATCTGTATGTTAGCACAGTTAACTCACTTCGTACCAATTAATTTAATATATGCTGATTTAGTATAAACATAGGCCATAAAAAATTGTGTTTGTGGAGATGAAAGCACAAAAAAGTGTTTTAGAACGTAATAGCCATTCAGCTCACGTTTTAATGAAACTTGCATGTTTTTTTAACACAATGGGATGAGACAAATGGCTAGCCATTTTGTTAATCACTATTTCCTGTTCAGTTTTTATTTCCGCCGTTGTGATGGGTTCGGCCCACAGTCAAATCTCATTGGTCCAATAATCCACTTCACATCAGTTATTTTAGTATCATGGAGATACTATTATAGCTGTTATTAATATTTTGAATTAATTTTCATTTTTATATTTCCCGTTTCCATTTTAATTTAAGTTGAGGTTTTAGTAATTTAGTGTTTTTGCCATTTTTATTAGTTTTATAAATCTGTTTCTGCCTGTATAGTTTTTATGCGTTTGGGTTTTAGTTTTCATTCTACATTAATTAAACTAATTGAAATATATATTATTCCAGTTAACACTCATTTTACTTCAAGTAACCATTTTTTATGGTTTAAGTTTTGGTATGGTATGTTTTTTATTTTTTTTTATTAAATATAATAACCTGTGCCTCTTGCCTGGTTAGGACTTATATTTGTGGTGCAACATTTACATTTCTTGTGCAAAATAGTTGCATTTATATAAGCAACTTTTTTATGTGTATTTATTTTTTACCATTTTTGGTCTAAGAGAGCATCTAAAAGAGTTTTAAATGTGATGAATTTTTATAGGGTCTGCTTTTATAGTCCTGATTTTCTAAATGTTTTTATATCTCTAGAAATATAGAATAATGTCCATGCATTCTGAATTTATAGTCTTTGTGTTTTTTATTTATGATAACAGAATTGGTTGTGGTGCTGGAGTGTTTTATGTTGCTTACACATAAAATAATACAAGTGAAATATTTAGTCTTGTTTATAGTGTGAGTTGTCTAATGGATATCATCACTGATAACATGATAATAACAGGGGGTTCGTTTTTGTGAAGAGCTTTGTTTGCATTTTTTGCTTTGGATAGAATAACTAAATGGAACTGTTTATTCATTTCTTTGCTAGTTATCAGCATGTACTGGTGGAACAGCTGTTGCATGAGGTTTACGTGTGTTTGGCGTCTGGTATTGTCGGATTTGACTGGTCTTTCACTTTTTTCCTCTTTACAACCCTGCTCATTTTGAGCGTGTCGGCTTGCATGAACGACTGCTGTAGATATGAGACTAGATGTTTCTGTGTGTTTGTGTCTGAATTGAAATCCATCAGATGGTGGATTTTCAAGAGATGGAAAACCTTTGTCATCTCCATTTTGCGTCATTACTTCCACTGATTTAGAATTTACGTGTTAATGATGGTTTTATGAATTATGGAAATGAATAAACATACACTTCCAAAGGTATCTATGTGCTTACTTTCATACATTCACTTAAAAGTAGTTCACCTTTTCTGTCACTACTTACTCACCCTCATGTTGTTCCAAGCCCAATGTTTTTCTGTCCTTGGTGGAACAAAAAAAAAGAGGAATTTTTAAAGAATAACCAGGCTGATCTTTTAAAAATTAATTGAATGTGGAGCTGCACATACAAAGCTATATTATGCTATATTATCAAACAAAGCTATATTATGATATAACACTATCAGAAGACTTAAACATAGAGTATGAATCATATGGACCACTTTCATTCCCTTTTAGTTCTTGACAGACCATTCACATTCACTTTAAATATACGGAAACAAGCAGTCTGTCAAGTCTGAATGCAGTCTGAATGGTCTATCAAAATACTACAGTAGGCACATTTCCATTACAGATTTGCGCAAAACGTTAGCGATATTTTATAAATGTCGATAAAAAAGTATTGCGAAATGGCGGCGTTTGCATTAACCAATGTTATGCAACTAAAACGTACATTTTTCCTCTCGTGATGAGTCATGGCAATGGATTTTGGTGGGATTTTGACAGATTTTGGCTATATTTATTCGAAGGAGGCGTATGCGTGTATCTTTACAGAAGCAGCGCGGAGAGCCGGTTCAGAAACATGCGTGGCGCGGCTGGTATAAACACAAGCATTGACTAGAGTGGCCGCAATCAGCTTCAGTGGCCGTATCAGAGCCACACTGCACCGCAGACGTGTGCAGTGTAAATTGTCTAAGCATTAATGTCAGGAAAGCCCCTTATACTCGAGAGCGGCCACGTATGAAGTGTTTCTTGGAGGTTATAGTACATTGAAGAATGATCATATGATTTTTTACGTGACCTGTGAATGTGAAAAAAAAAAAAAGTTTCCATTGCAGTTTTGCGAAATATTCCTTTTTTGAATTGCCTGAAAAACCACCTTATGCGAGCATAACATTTTTTTTTGCCATATATGGGACTTTTTGCAAATTTGACGCGTTTCCATTAGGTGTATTTTCAATTCGCAATTTTAATTTGCACAATTTGAAGGGTAATGGATACGCAGCTAGTGATTTTGAAAAAATTTAAATGATTTTTCAGTTTAGGGGGAAAAATTTAATTTAGTGAAATTTTAATAGCAAATTTTGAAATTTAAAATTTGTTTTAAAATTAATCCTACACCAAATATTTTTTCTTTGTATATATACGAGTCCGACCAGGATTTCGCTTTTTTATTTCTTTCTTTTTTTTTTTTTTTTCAGATTTGTGCAGCCTAAAATTTCAGAATTTGCTGTGGCTTTTCTCAAAAAAATTGCTGCAATATTTGCATTTTTTTGTGTTTTTGCAGTAAAAACACACCAATAATCATGATGTACTTTTGTAATTAGTGTTAGTGACAGTAAGATTAAAATTCTGTAAATATTTTCGTGCGTAATTACTGAAACTGTTTCTGGTTCCCTGTGCACATGATAATGGTCACACCAGTATTGAAATACATATAATTCTGCTTTTCTTAAAATACAGAAATTTATTGAACACAATAGCTTGCACATTGTCACTGGATCAGTATTTAATCAGTGACCATATTATAAATGTTAAATTGAATAAATTATTTCATGTTTTTACAATTGAACAATTATATTGTCTATGATTTATATCGTCTGAAATATTTAAATAGTGCATATTCAATAAAATAATGTACTTATTTGAATCTAATCTAGGCTAATGGTGAAATCAGGCATTACGGGCACAATACGTATTGATTTATTAGTTGGCACTCTAAATTATGTATTGTTATTAGCTAATTTTTTTATAAGATAATATAAGAAAAAATTAATTTGGGCTTGGAGCAATATTTTAGGGTGAAACTGCTCAGAGATACTTCTAAATTAGCCATTACTTTATGTTCCTAGAGTGGCACAGACCCTGATACTAACTTTGGTTCATACTCTGAATTAATGAAGACTTGGAGATAGAAAAGCACTGATGCCGTGTGTAGCTGAGGACACCTGTACTAACGGTTTGTTGGTGTGTTTGTGTGCCGTTCCTCAGGGTAAGGTGGCACAGACGGCGTGTATGTCTGCCTGTAAACACCTGGCCACGTCACTGATGCAGATGCTGCTGGATACTGAGCTCAAACAGATCAGCATGGGAGCCATTCAGCAGTTCAACCTGGATGTCATACAGTGTGAACGTGAGTAGTGCGTCTTTGATCATTTAATAATTGCGTATTTGCAATGCCACCTCCATGTTCATTTCAATAGTCCACCCAGTAATGAAGCTTTTGTCATTATTTACTCACCCTCTTCTTTCACTGAAATTTACTATAAAAAGTACTGTAGATTTTACGAATTGAACTTAAATTTTAAAGTAAACCATACATATATTTCATTACCTGATATAATATTAATATATCAACCCACTGAAATACTAATCACTAATGCACTAAAAAAAAAAAAGATAACACAGGAGGTAAAGAAAAAGCCACATGTAAAATCAAGCTAATCAGCAAGCAGTTTTTTCCCAAGCTGAAGTAAATATTAATATATACAAGGTGCACACAGTGTCATACACAAATACAAAACACAATCGTGGTAATACTCATGATACAAAAATAATGCAGTAAACATTAATTTGACAACATAAGATGTTACATAAAACCCTAATGTGGCATAGAACAACTAAGAAGAAACGGTTATTTCGAGGAAAACCCCACATGGAAATCTGGCAATATCAATTTATGTTTTTTCACTGTAAATTATAAGATGATTTGTTCTTTTTCACTTCCAAAAACTACTGTACAATCACATAAAATGTCCCATTAGATTTATTACAAATTTTCACCATATAAGAGTAAAAGAACCTTTTTACAGTAGCATTTTTACATTAAAATTATGATGATTTTTACAGTGTAGTCCCTGTACACTATAAAAGTGGTCCATGTGCTTTATTTGAAGTCTTCTGAAGCCATGCAACAGCTTTGTAAGCGAAGTCTAAAATAATAGTAATCATTTATTGAATGCATCTTATCTGCCGTAAATCATTAATTAATAAACCAGACCTTTTACAAAATACATCCATTCTAAAAGTTTGAGCATTACCATAAACCACTTTCAAAGCGGAATGTGGCTAATGCACTAACAGACAGGCATGTCAGTCTTATGCTCTGTGAAGCGCAGCATGGCGGTAGATGCATTCATGCAGCAGGTATTATTGATATTATCAGCTGTTCTCAGAAGCAGTTATCTGAGTTGCACTCTTTCAAGGAACATTCCTGATTACCCGCACTCCACCTGCTCTTGGAAATCCACACCTGTTCTGATATGAGCTGATATGGAACAGTTTAGAGCAACATTACTCGCTTATCCATTTGTACGTTCATTCATCTTACATGTGTTGCATTTTAGGGTTGTGACGGTGAGGAAATTTTGCGGTGAGACGCAATTCGGCGTCAAGCAATTGTTCGTTTGAGTTTTCCCTCTTTTCCTCAGATTTCTTGGCTTTCAAATAGCTTGAAAAAGCACCATGCGCGTTTTACTTTCACTTTCAAATGAGGGGCAATTCAGCATTGATTCAATTCAAGCAACAACAACGTCAAACTCGGAACTTTTATTAACAAAACGAATAAAAATACACCATATAGACCTATGCCTAATTAGCCATTTCCTTTCTAAACAATCTTCTGCCATCGTCTTGTCTTTCTCACCTCACTGTTGTCAGTCAGTTCGATTCACTTTCCTCACGTGATAAATAAAATCTGACTCCTGCTCCGTGGTGGTGGTCATTGGGCTAAATTATTTTTGTTACTATAGAAAAATCAAAACGACGGTGGGGGGCAGTGCCACGGTAGGCAAATGACGTAACCGGTGTTGCGGCTTAACACCGGTATAACCGAAAACACCGTCTATCGCAGCAAGCCTACTGCATTTGCATGCATTACCCACCCATATGAGAATATCATTCATAGTTCTACTAGAAATGGAAATGCTGTTTTGAAACCATATGACAAAACTGTTGTCTGTGTGTGAGTATGTGGATTTGCTGTAGACATTGTAATTACTGCTTTTAGGCATATGTCTAAAATAGCATATGACACATTTTTAAGGAACGGAGCACATTTCTGCTGATCTCCATTGGGCTTAATGGCTTCATCCTGATCTGAAATTTATTGGACTTCAGAATTATGAAAACAGACCCGACCATTTATGGAGCTGACCTTAAAATGTTTCTTTCCCAAGTCAAAAGATCCTCAAGTGTCTATGATATTGTGAAATGCAGAAACTGATCTCATTGAGGTTTCATATCTCCCTGGGGAAGTCCATAAGCCCCTTTGGTTCTGAATGGCACAATAGAGATGTCAGAGCACAGCGTTCATCAATAATGTTAATATGTGGACAGTTCTTTGGTTCTATCTTCTACTCCTCAGCCATTTAAGGTTTCAGTCACGCTACATCACTGTCAGCAGAAGTGAAAGGCTGTGTGTGTGCATGCTCGTATCTGTTGCCTCAGGCCACAGATGTCTAGAGTTTGTGAGGGTTCAACCACACAGGTACGGCAGGGAATGTCTGACCCTTTTCTAAGGTCTGAATGGTGTTTGTCCCATTAGCGGCAGCTTATCTTACTCTAGTTAAAACACAGACAGTTAAGATTCACCCATAGGAATACTTATCCCAAGTTGTGAGTTTACAGTCTGATTTGTCTGAATTCTGCTTGTAATTTATAGTGTGTCAGTGGATAGTTGACAGGGAGGTGTAGGAAATGTGAGGTCACATGCATTTGGGACGTAATCAAGGTCATACATGCACTTTCATTCAGACTGAAACAGTAATCTGTATTTTTTAAACACTTTTAAAACACTCCAACTGAAATCTTACCAGTCCTGTTTTTGTAATTTGGCCTCATCCAGCATACATACACATTAATGGGACCACACGTGGCACTTGCTCTAAAGGACAGAGGTGACATGCAACATGAATTTAGTATTTAAAATATTTAATTTTGCATCTTGTATACTTAAAGACTGCAGCTCAACTATGCAAAAAAACTAAAAAACACTGTAGATCAATTGTAAGTGCACATGAACACAGTGATGTGATCTCAGGGCTCATGGTAGGTCTGTTATCATTAATAAAATCTTTGTGAGGAAAATGTCTTAGCTGGCTGCACAAACTTTAAAGCAGTGTAGTTCACTGTCTGAACAACACAAATGATTCTTCCCATAAATGGTCATACTCTATTACAAAGCTCTCTGGAACACTTGATTCTTACGGTTTATCCAGCATTCGTCAGTCAGAAATTTGTACAAAATGATAGCTAATCTGAATAACTGACAGATTTTCAACATAGCTGAGCTAGTTTTACCACTAATATCAGTCTGATTGATATGATCATTTGGTTTTAGAAAACCATAGATTGAGTGAATGAGTTAGTTATTTGTGATCCTCTAGTTTTAGAAACCCTTAGATCGAGTGAGTTAGTTATGATCATCTGGTTTTAGAAAACCATAGATTGAGTGAATGAGTTAGTTACTTGTGATCATCTAGTTTTAGAAACCTATAGATAGAGTTAGTTATGATCATCTGGTTTTAGAAAACTATAGATAGAGTGAGTGAGTTAGGGTAGTTATGATCATCTAGTTTTAGAAAACCATAGATAGAGTGAGTGAGTGAGTTAGTTACTTTTGATCATCTAGTTTTAGAAAACCACAGATTGAGTGAAGGAGTTAGTTATTTGTGATCATCTAGTTTTAGAAACCTATAGAGTGAGTTAGTTATGATCATCTGGTTTTAGAAAACCATATATAGAGTAAGTTATGATCATCTAGTTTTAGAAAACCATAGATAGAGTTAGTTATGATCATCTAGTTTTAGAAAACCATAGATAGTGGGTGAGTGAGTTATGATCTTCTAGTTTCAGAAAATCATAAATTGAGTGACTGAGTTATGATCATCTAGTTTCAGAAAACCGTAGAGTGAGTGAGTTATGATCATCTAGTTTCAGAAAACCATAGATTGAGTGACTGAGTTATGATCATCTAGTTACAGAAAACAGATTGAGTGAGTGACTGAGTTATGATCGTCTAGTTTTAGAAAACCATAGATAAAGTTATGATCATCTAGTTTTAGAAAACCATAGAGAGTGCGCGAGTTATAATCGTCTAGTTACAGAAAACCATAGATAGTTAGTTAGTTTTGATCATCTGATTTTGGAAAACCGTAGGTCTAGATCAGTTAGCTAAATAGTTAGTTTTGATCATCTGGTTTTGGACAAGCTTAAATAGATAGTTAGGAAGGACATCCTGAGTAAAACCTGTGGCTAATACCTGTACGGGTAATTCTCCTTTGGCGACCAACCGAAGGAGAGAGAGAGAGAGAGATTTAGTTAGTTAGTTAGTTGGATAGGTATTTTTGATCATCTGGTCTTGGAAAGCTGTAAGTCAAGTTACAAATATAAACAGCAACACAAGTCAGAATAGTTTGAAAGTCTGAACCAAGTTTAGTGGATGCAGCTTTAACGTTTTAAACGTTTTAACTTAGTGTTAGAAATTTTATTCTCAGAAATGTAATAATAATAATAATAACAAATAGTAGATCAATATGTTGGCTTTATCAAGTTTTCGTTAATGTTTCAGGGTAACAAAAATGCTTTGTAAATATTGTTCAGGGGTTTAATTTGATGTCTTTACACAACGCACAACAACTAATTGTTTTTTAAATATTATTTTCCTGTTCCTTTCACAGTTTTTGCCAGTTCAGAGCCCGTGCCAGGATTCCAGGGGGACACACTGCAGTTGGCCTTCATTGACCTCCGACAGGTACAGACCTCTCTGCAGACATGACTATTCTTGATCCATAGTCCCTGTGAGTGAGCTGAGGGGAAGGGTGGAGAACATACAGCATTAACAGGCACTAATGGATTATCCCAATCTGAACACGCTTACCTTCAGGAGGGGAAATCACTTAGTCGCGGTGGGGTTCATTATGCTATCAGGAGGTCTTTCTCCGTTTGGTCCTGGTTTTTTTTTGTGCTGCTTGGAGTTTGACCTTTCAATCTGGGCCTGGGGTGCTTAAGGTTTTATTTCTGTCATAAATGTCGCACCATGAAAATGGTGTCCCTGTCATAAAAAATCGAAGGGGACTGGGACTTTCAAGCTCTTAAAGGGATAGTTCACCCAAAAATGAAATCCTCATGTAGTTTCAGACCTATGACTTTCTTTCTTCTGGAGAACACAAAAGAAAGAATTATGGTAACCAATCAGTTTGGTGATCATTGAATTCCACTTTAAAGCATGAAATATCTTCTTAAAATATTTTTAAAAGCATCATAAAAGTAGACCATATGATTTAAACGTCAGGTTTTCAATGATGTTTGATTACAAGATAAGCAAATTTTGATTCCAATTTGGTTCTGTTCCTCACATAATGCTATTGTATGACTTCAGAGGCCTTGGAATATAGTACACAATTTATATACAACACATTAATGATACTTTTTGGTGCTTTTTTGGATCTTGACACCCTGAGTCCTTATTTACATTCATTATAAAGAGTGGCCACTATATGGAACATTTTCACATTTCCAAGGTTCTCCGAAGTGGAAGTCATCATAGTTGCGTGAACTTCTATAGTGGTGAACAGAAAATACAACAAATGTATTTTTTTGCATTTTCATTTGCTTCAGTAGCAAAAGGAAAAATCAACTATATCATTTCGATGACTTTCCAAAAGAGCTAAAAAACATTATAAATGTTAAATGATATAAGAAATATGTTATAAATGTATGATGCGCTTTAAAAATGATATAAATATTAATGTTAATAAATGTGGTCTTGCATCATATAAAATGGGTCCATTCTTCAGAAATTCACCCTTGGTATTCCACGGAAGAAAAGGAAGTGATAAGAGTTTGGAATGACATGAGGGTGAGTAAATGATGACAAAATTGTATTTTTGGGTGCAATTTCAATCCACATGCTGAATCACATACACCACCTGTTCATGGGAAAGCTCTGGCTTGATCTGCGTGGCACGCACCGGTCGGGGTGGCGTCTTTCAGCGTGTCACGACTGCGGCCGCTCGCCAAGACCTCTCGATTACCATTAGCATGACGCTGCTTTGATCCTTGCCTGGTTTCTTGGAGGATTTGCTGACAGCTTCTCTCAAGTGCTCTCAGCGAGCTCTGGCTCCAATTCGGGCAGAGTGAGCTCGGACAAGGTCAGAGATAAGGAGAGTGGAGTGCTGGCCGTCAGAATTTACCTATTCATCCCACCCCCCGTGTAGATAACCTTCCCATCATGCATTATGATGCAGATCTACCCTAGAGCTCTCAAATAGAGAGGTCACAGTCTCCCTGCCAATCACGTTTACTCTGATGTGTTTTAAACGTTTTAATTCTTGTTGTCTGTAAGGTGATGCTGTGCAGGGCTGCAGATGCTTGTACTAATACTGGTAAAAATTCACTTGCTTACATCACTTAAAAAAGACTAAAATGTCTGAAGGCACATTTCTGAGTTTTCCTGTGTTCTTCACTTTCACCAGCATCGCGAATAAGTATCTAAAAGTAGCGATGCTGCTAACTTGACTCCTTTTTTCAGTAGCGTGAGAATAGATCAGTTGTTCACAGCTTTTCCAGTAACTTGCTACTTTTTTGCAACAATTAGCAGTAAAAACAACATTTAAAACATTGCTGTTTAAAGTCTATGTTAGAGGCAATAATCAAAAATGCTCATATTCTCTCATATGTATAGCATTAATGAAGCGGTTCAGTTCTCTTTCTTTCTTTGTTTCTTACATTTACTTACTTGCTTACCATTTCCTGCATTCCCTAAGAATTAAACAATGACCCTGGTGTTATTAGTGTCATACTGCATGGTTTGAGCTACATGAATGATTCACCATTAAAGGGGTCATATGATGCTGCTAAAAAGAACATTATTTGGTGTCTTACAGTCTGTGAGTCAGAACAGCCGGCATTGTAGTCTACTCAGATCAGGAAACAGTCCTCCATAAAATGCACTGGACACATCTGAGTATTTGGGTTAAACTGTTCTGGAACAGTGTTGTAAATACAACTTAACCACTGATTTCTAGTCGTGTCCTCTTT